CCTTCCCTGAAACAGGATTATATTTCCCTCAAATGATGTAGGTTTGGCCATGTGACTGGCAATGTCTCAGCTAGAGGTTTTTCTACTAGTTTAGATTCAGGAGTAAAGTCAACATGGAGCAGAGCAATCCTTGACCTATAATAGATATGTAGCCACCAGGACTGGGAATGACTACCACAGCATGTCATAGCCTATCTAGATTAACACCCACATCTGGCTGGGTGTGGTGGCTCGAACCTGTAATCTCAGCACTTTGGGAGGCCAAGGCAGGAGGATGGTTTGAGGCCAGGAGTTCGAGACCAGCCTGGGCAACATAGTGAAACCCTGTCTCTACAAAAACAAAAACAAAAACACCGCATACATCCTCATGAGTAAATTTTGGTAATTTATGTTTTCCTTGAAAATTATCTATTTCATGTAGATTTTCAAATGCATTGACATACAGTTGTTCTTAGTATAATTTAAAAATTTCTGTAATGGTGGATAGAAACCTCTCTATCATTTGTAGTCTTTTGTGTTTTCTCTTTCTATTGCTTATTTTGATCGGTATTTTCAAATAACCAGCACTTAGTTTTATCAATTTTACTTTCTCTGCATTCTAATTTATTGATTTTTAATGTTATCTACATAAAGTCATACTTTGTCCTTTTCTGTGTGAATGAATATTTCCCTGGTTCTTCATATGCCAACTAATTTTTTACTGTACTCTGAACATTTTGAATATTATGAGATTCTGGGTCTTGTTTAAGTCCTATGTAGGATTTTGATTTTTTGCTTTAGCAGGCAATCGACCTGAGTAAATTCAAGTCATACGTTCCAACCTGCAGTGGTCTATCCTTTTGTTCACTTCTTAGTCTTCAATATACTAATTACGAACACATCCAAGCTTATGCAGCTATGGGGTTGCTTTTCAGAGCTCCTCCCTCTCCTTGTCTTCCATCTCCAGCACTTTCCACTTCCCTGAAAATCCCCTTTTGGGTGCTCTAGGCAGAAATCTTGGGCTTTAGCTATCCTGCTCTGCTATGCTGTGTCAGGGGCCATGTGGCAGGAAAACTAAAGGAAAAACTTACCGGTTAACTCACTGTGGGTTCATTGGTACTCCAAATTCAGTTGTTCTTTCCTGATAGCCTACTAGTATTTTATTTTCCCTGTCTTTAAATAGCTGTTCCATGCATTCTGCAGTGAAGTGTGCTCCCTCTATCCTATCCACAAGTCAAATTTTACTCAATGCATTTTTACAAAGGTGCCAAGGTATTTATTAATTTAATGGGGAAAGGATAATATTTTTAACAAATAGTGTTGAAAGAATTGGACATACATATGCAAATAAATGAATCTGAACCCTTACTTCACACCATACACAAAAATAAACTAAAAGTAAATCACACACCTAAACATGGGGGCTAAAACTTTTTTTAATTTTTATTTTACTTTAATAAAATAAAGTAATAAGCATACTAATAAAAAAATTGGACTGCCTTATTGTGTATGCCTCATAGGGTTAGTTATAATGATAAACAAGATAAGCAAACAGCAGTAAATATATGTGCAGAACGTGCAGGTTTTTTACATAGGTATACTTGTGCCATGGTGGTTTGCTGCACCTATCACCTGGGTTTTAAGGCCTGCATGCAATAGCTATTTGCCCTGATGCTCTCCCTCCCCTGCCCCCACCCCACAGGCCCTGGTGTGTGTTGTTCCCCTCCCTGTATCCATGTATTCTCATTGTTCAACTCCCACCTATGAATGACAACATGCAGTACTAAAACTAAACTTCTAGAAATTTAGGATGAAAACTTAAAAAGTTTTTAAAACTGATAATATGATTTCATCAAAATTGGAAACGTTTTGCTTTTCAAATGACAGTTAAGAAAATGAAAAGTCAAGCCACTGACCTGGAGGAAGAATCTGCAATATCTGATAAAAGACTTATATGTCTAGATTATCTTAAGAACTCTCAAAACTCAATAATACAAAGATAAACAACCCAATCACAGTACATGATGAGTATTAATAGGAAGGCCATAGAAGAGACAGGTATACTTCTTGCCATTCACTAAAAATGCAATTTTCTTTCACAGCTATATTAATATATATATAGCACTCCCTATGCCATCAAATGCTTTTCCCTTTCTAACATTTTAAGCAAATTGCTATTCAAACTATAATACTCAATTCAAGCATCACCTTCTTAGAAAATTTATCCACCTGATTTAAGTAACATTAAAAGGTCTCTGCTTTGTGGAGATACAAACACATATTTCTCTGTTAAAGCAAATATCACATTTTTTTACAATCGCATCTACTATACATCTGATTTTCTTACAAAAACACAAGTTCCTTGAAGGTAGAATCTTACTCTCAATTGGGGAAGTAATAGAGCTGAAACCTGAAAATACAACTGATTTCAAAGAGGCACTGACAAACCACAATGGAAATAATTAATTTTGATTTTTAAGAAGTCTCACCTTTTCCTTGGGACATAATGTAGTATCAATGAAGCATCACATCTCAGACCAATTATTGAACTTCTGCACTTTAAATCTCCACTAGTTTCCAACAGCAATTTCACAAATATGTTTTTTTCACACCAATAGCACTTTCGAAGACATCTGTCCTCATAAACTCTTCTTAAAGAGGTCAGACTTATTTTTAAACATCTGAGCATATTTCATCATGAAAGAACAGATTTTGCTGGGGGTGGTGGTTCACACCTATAATCCTAGCACTTTACAAGGCTGAGGTGGACAGATTGCTTGAGCTCAGGAGTTCAAGACCAGCCTGAGCAATATGATGAAACCCCTATCTCCACAAAACATACAAAAATTAGCTGGGCATGGTGGCATGTGCCTATGGTCCCAGCTACTTGGTAGGCTGAGGCAGGAGGATCACTTAAACCCAGGAGATGGAGGTTGCAGTGGGCCAAAATTGCACCAGCCTAGGTGACAGAGGAAGACTCTGTCTCCAAAGAAAAAAAAAAGAACAGATTTTTAAACAATGTTTCAAATTAGTATGCTTTATTAGTAATAAGCATACTAATAAGATGCATGCAATATATGAATCCTCACTGTATGCAAAGCACTGCTGTAGATACTAGGGATAGGTGAAGATTAGAACAAAAATTTCTGCCCTTATACAACTTCAAGTTCTAGGGTAGGGACACAGACAATGAGTAATATAAATATATACCATGTAAAATAGTGATGAGGAGACTAACCACATAGTTTATCATCCAAGCTGGGCTTCTACTGAAAGTACAAAGAGGAGCTAAAAATAATTAATAGTTGTGAACAACACAAATAAACCAGACTGTCCCATGGCATACAATTACCCTAGAGTTAAGCACTAAAGGGAAAACAAAGCAAGGAAGAAGGATAATGATATGCATTTGTGTGAGGGAGGGGGGTAGTAATGAAGCTCATATTTGAAGTTATATTTCGGTGAAGACCTGAAAGTGTTAAGGCGTAAACCGTGTAGATATCTGTACATTCCAGGAAAAGAGAGTAACAAGTAGAAAAGTCCTGTGGCAGGAGCAAAACAAGTATGTTTCAAAAACAGCAAAGGAATTGGTGTGCTAGAGCAGAATGAGCCAGGGAAGAATGAAAGGGGGGTAAATGAAGAGAGAGAGAGAGTGGCGGCAGGGGGCTGAGTCATGTAGATTAATTTAGAGAGGGGGTGTGGGACCCAGATCAGGTAGGGCTTGTACATCATTGTAAGGACTCTGGCTTTGCTCTGAGTAAGACAGAAGTCACTGAAAGGTTTTAAGCAAAGAGACACTTGATCTGACTTACAATATCAGAATTCCTCTGGCTTCTTGTAGAGACTGAAGAGGAGCGACTGTGGAAGCAGGCCAAATCAGGAGGCTGTTGCAGTGATCCACATGAGAGATGTTGGTGACTTGGACCAGGATGGTAGCTGAAGAGGTGATGAGAGGTGGTCAAATTTTGGATACACCATGAATTTAGTCAGGAATTGCTGATGAACTGAATATGATGTATAAGAGCATGGGTGGGATTTGAGGTGAGGGGAGGAAGGAGGAAGAATCAGTTTAGTTTTCAATACATTCAGTTTGAGATGCCTATTAAGTTTCACATATGGAGATGTCAAGTAAGCAGTAGGAAATGAGAGTCTAAAATTCTGAGGTTTAGAGGTCCAAGCTGGAGATAAAAATCTGGGCATTATCAGTGCAGGGAGGACAATCATTTACATGAGATTGGATGAGTTCCTCAAATACACAGAAAAGAGGTCTGAGGAGTAAACCTTTGGGAACACTAAAATTTAGAGGTCATAGAAGATAGAACTCCTACATGAAACTGAGAAGGAGCAGGCGGGGAGGTGGGAGGAAAACCAGGCAATATACTAGAAACCAAGGAGGCAGAGTTAGAAGGAGAGAGCAATCAACTGTGTCAAATGCTACTGATAGATCTAATAAGATGAAGATGAAGACTGACCATTGGATCTCACAATGTGCATGTCTGGAGACCCTGACAAGAGCAGTTTCTGTGGAGTATAGCATAGAAAACCCTGGTTAGAACAGGAAGGAAAAAAAGGAAAGTGAGTACAGAATACTTCCAAGGAATTTTCTGTGAAGAAGACAAGTAAGGATGACAGCTTGAGGGGATGTCAGGCCAAGAGAGTTTTGTTGTTGTTGTTTGTTTTTTGTTTTTAAGATAAGAAAGATTCAGTGGAGAAAGACTGAGGATTCAGGAGAGACAAGTTCATGGGAGAACCTTTCTTCTCTTTAAGATTGCAGGGACACTTTATCAATGCAAACAAAAAGTAAAGTACAGAGTGTTCCACTGTGTACTATAATGCAATGCATGTGCTCCTAAAACTTTAAAATTCTGCAAAATTGCACAGCAGCTAAGTAATTTTGAATTACCTTATTTGTATTCTTGAATTATATGTTGAATTATAAAAATTCAACATGTACAAAGAATGAATTCAAATATTTAGAATTACAAATTCTAAATAATTTTGTAATTATACTTTTATTCTGACCTAAAAGTTCTTTAACATAGTGCTTAATTTTGAAATGTTTCAATTTTTCTCATTTAAACTATTATTCATTCCAATTTTATCTGCATAAGTTGAATTGTGTCCCCAAAGATGTCAAAGTCCTTGCCCTCAGTACCTGTAAATGTGATCCTATTGTGGGGGTGTGGGGCAGTCAAATTGTAGATGTAATTAGTTAAAATGAGGTCATACTGGAGTAAGGTGGGCCCCAATCCAATGACTGGTGTCTTTATAAAAAGGGGAAATGTGCGCACAGGAAAAACACCAGGTGAAAATTGGAGTTCTGCTACCACAAGCCAAGAACTACCAGAAGTTAGGAGAGAGGCTTGGAACAAACCTTTCCATAGAGCCTTCAGAGGGAGCAGGGCTCTGCGAACACTTGACCTCAAACTTCAATTCTCCAGAACTATGAGGTGATAAATTTCTGTTTATTGTTTATCATACTTTGTAACAGCAGCTCTAGCAAACTAATATACTAACAGTAACAAGGCCTAAGGGAAAAATAGGTTTGGGGTGTATCACTTAAAATCAATACAATTTTGTGGCCAGAGCACTCAACAGAAAAAGTCATTGGTACTTAGGAAACAACATGTGCACTGCCAAGCCAGAACTCCTCTAACTGGAGGCTGCGCCAGGCAATGTTAAAAATACACCATACATTGCCCTGGAAATGTTTATAATGCTTTGGTTAGGGCAAGACTGGGGGCTGAGATGAGGATGAAGCAAAGGTTTATGAATATGGGCAGATGGTGGGTAGAAGTGGGGTGGAGTGCATGAAGAGTCCTCTGGTTGCTTCAGTCTTCTTGGCCAACTAGAAATTAGCAACATCAGCTGTGAGCAACAACCAGAGAGGGAGTGTCAGGGTTTGAGACCAGGAGAGAGGGTATGAAACTATCTTGTAGAGTAAGGGAATGAATGGATCACTGCACAGCATCACTGCCCTCTTGCGACTTGCAGTGGTGACCTTTTTTAGTTACATTAAGCTGCCTGGGAATTGGCACAGTTGGTCTGAACCAAGACAGTGACTCAGCTAAGTCAGTATAGCAAAGCTGGATGACAAGAACATTGACAATGTGTACAAAGAATGAAACACAAAAGGAAGAGAAGTAAGGATGTGCAGGGCAGTGAAAACCTGAAAAGGTAGGAGGTGGTGGTCAGGGAGCAGAATGACTTGAGGCTGAAATTAGGAAGGAACTGCAGTGGTTGGTAATGACAAGGATTCACATAAATACGACAGAGTTAAGACAGAAGACACACAGTATTATCCTAAGAGACAGATTATCCTTACTTTTAATGATGGAGGCAGCAAATGTTAGTGTTGGTCACTTGATTTGCTTTTTATTCTTTTGAGTTTAGCAACAAAGGCTTATATTTTAATCTGAATCCCCTGTTCTTAAGCTTTTTAGTGTTCTCATTGCACCAAATTCTAAATAATTTTGTAATTATACTTTTATTTTGACCTAAAAGTTCTTTAACATAGTGCTTAATTTTGAAATGTTTCATATTTTTCTCATTTAAACTATTATTCATTCCAATTTCATCTGCATTATAGTCAGAAAATGTGGCCCAGGTGATTTGCACTTTTGGAAATTTGGCCTTTTTTATTAGCTTAATATGTGCTCACTTTTTGTAAATGATTTTTGAGAACTGGGTTTGTAGGTGCCAACATTTATTAAATTAGCATTACTAGCAGTCTTGCCTAATTAACCTGTAAATGACTGCGATTAATATATTAGGACTCCTATTAATATTTCTGTCCATTTTCCTTGCATTTCTAACACTTTATACATTTTCACATAATGTTATCCACCAGATACATGTTCACGAAGATTTCATCTTTGTCATAAACAGTAGCCTTTACCAATGCAAATAAATATATGAAAGGAAAAAGAAAAATTACCTTAAGAAAACAGCAACTTGAACTTCTACCACAAATTCTCAGGTGACCTGGCACTTTGGAACCCACAACAGAATGAAAGCTGGCAAGCTCTACACTTTAATAGAAGACCCAAAGATTGCTTGATTTTCCAAAATATCAATTGCCATCTCATCTGAAGTTTTGAAAACATTTTTTAAAATGTATGTTGCTCTGAAATACTTTACATATACTAATTGTAATTCTGTAGAAATATTTTCTGGGGTTGGAAGGAGACTTCCCTGAATTGGGCAGGTTAACAAAAGTCATATTAAATCATGTTTATAATATTTAATATGGTTGATAATTGCCATAAGCAGTGTTCAGTAATTCAGTACAGCCTACCACTTTTAAGTACTAAAATACTGGTATCTATTTGCCATTATTCAGTAATAATCTAAATAATTTTGTCTCATCACATATGTAGTCATGCATGAAAAGTTTGAGCTGCCCAGTACTCTGATCATATTCCTCCCCCTTAAAAAAAAAAAAAAAAACTTTTGAAGGTGTATTCTTATTATCAGCTTTTTAAATGATCCTTTCCTTGGTCATTAGTATCAGTAATCCGTTTTCCCTACGGTTACTGGATTTCTCCCAGAACTAATTTGGGCCCCATTTACTTTCAAAAATTCCTGATGTAACTAACTTTTCACCAAGGAGAAATGGGGCAGGTGGAGGTTAGGGGCTGGGGTAGAGAGATGTGCCATTGGATATATAAGGAGGCGGGTGTGGTAGGGACCAGAGAAGAAGGGAAGGGGCTCAGTCCTTAGTTTCCAGCTTTCCTGCCTCTACCTATTTTCAGGGCCAGACTCCCATCTCTGCTTGCCTTTTGTCTTCCAGAGTCATCTTTGTTTTGGGACTTGCCCACTCCTTCCCTAGGATAAAATTTATTTTCTCTGGACCTTCTTCCCCCAACATCTGACCTGCACAAACTCTAGCCAGAAAAGTTAAAAGAGAAAGTCCTAGACCATGGTCATCTCTCAAATAACCAGAGTAATGACCCTTTCCTTGGTCATTAGTATGAGTAATTAGATTTCCCTATAGTTGCTAATTACCTGGATTTCTCCCAGAATCAGTTTGGGATCTGGTGGCTGAGGACCAAGTGGAGAAGAAAAAGGCAACTGCAGTCCACTTTTTATTTTTATTTTTAAAGGTTCAGAGGGTACACGTGCAGGTTTGTTACATAAATATATTGCATACTGGTGATGCCTGTGCACCACACTGTTTAATGCATCACTGGTATCAGTGTCTCAGTGTGACCCGAAATTAAAAAAAAGGCAGCACGGCCATTTTACTCTGGTATTGCAACCAATAGCTACAGTAAAGTTGAAAATTGGTTAAAAATCTAACACCAATGAAAATTTAAATACCTAGGAATACATTTAAGCAAGGAAGTGAACGATCTCTACAAGGAAACTACAAAACACTGATGAAAGAAATCAGAGAAGACACAAACAAATGAAAAAACATCCCATGCTCATGGATCAGGATAAATATCATTAAAATGACGATACTGCCCAAAGCAATTCACAGGTTCAATGCAATTCTTATCAAACTACCAACATCATTTTTCACAGAATTAGGAAAGACTCCTAAAATTCATATACAACCAAAAAAGAGCCTAAATAGCCAAAGCAATCCTAAGCAAAAGAACAAAGTTGGAGGCATCACATTACCTGACTTCAAGTTATACTACAAGGCTACAGTTACCAAACGAGCATGCTACTGGTACAAAAATAGACACATAGATCTGTAAAACAGAATAGAGAACCCAGAAATAAAGCCACATGCCTACAACCAGTTGATCTTCAACAAGTGCTATGGAAAATGGCTAACCATATGCAGAAGAATGAAAATGAAGCCCTCTCTCTTACCATAAACAAAAATTAACTCAAGATAGATTAAAGACTTAAATGTAAGACCTGAAACTATAAAAATCCTCAAAGAAAACCTAGGAAAAACTCTTCTGGACATTGGCCTAGGCAAAGAATTTATCACTAAGACTTCAAAATCAAATGCAGCAAAAACAAAAATAGACAAATGCAGCTTAACTAAAAAGTATCTGCATAGAAGAAATAATCAACAGAGTGAAGAGACAACCTACAGAATGAGAGAAAATATTAGTGAATTATGCATCCAACAAGACTAATATCCAGAATCTATGAGGAACTCAAATCAAAAAGAAAAAAACCAATGACATTCTTCATAGAAATAGAAAAAATAATCCTAAAATTTATATGGAACCACAAAAGACCCAGAATAGCCAAAGCTATCCTAACTAAAAAGAACAAACCTAGAAAAATAACATTATCTGACTTCAAATTATATTACAGAGCTATAGTAGCCAAACAGCATGGCACTGCCATAAAAAACAGACACATACACCAATAATTGGGAGTAGAATAGAGAACCCAGAAACAAACCCACACACCTACAGTGCAGTCAAATTTCTTGAGCAATACCCCAAAAGTACAGGCAACCAAAGCAAAAATGGACAAATAGGATCACATCAAGTTAAAAAAACAAAGTCTCCCATCAAAGGAAAACTCCAGACCTTATGATTTCATGGGCTGAATTCTACCAAACATTTAAAGAACTAAAACCAATCCGTTTCAAACTCTTCCAAAAATACTGAAGAGTATATTTCCACACTCACTGTATGAGGCCAGCATTACCCTTCTCAAGAAAATACTAGCAAACTGACACCATTATCAAGTGAGGTTATCTCTGGGATGACAAGGATGGTTTAACATATGTACATCAACAAATATGATACACCACATTCACAGAATGAAGGACAAAACCCTATGATCATCTCAATGAATGCGGAAAAGGCATCTGACAAAATTCAACATCCTTTCTTCATTAAAATTCTCAACAAATTAAGATGGAATGCATCTCAACACAATAGAGGCCATATTCAATAAGCCCACAGCTAACATTATGTTCAAGTGAAAAGCTGAAAGCTTTTCCTCTAAGATCAGGAACAAGACAAGGATGCCCATTCACCCCACTTCCATTCAACATTGTGGCAGAAGTGCTAGATAAAGCAATTAGTAAAGTAAAACAAATAAAAGGCATCCAAATCAGAAAGGAAGAAGTTAAACTGTCTCTGTTTACAGATGACATGATCTTACATATTGAAACTGTAAAGATCCCACCAAAAACTGTTAGAACTAATAAATAAGCTCAGGAAAGTTGCAGGATACAAAATCAACATACAAAATCAGTACTACTTCTATATGCTAACAATGAACTATGTGAAAAAGATATCAAGAAAACAATCACATCTACAATAGCCAAAAAGTACTTGGAAATAAATTGAACCAAGAAGGTAAAAGTCTATACACTGAAAACTGTAAAATACCAATGAAAGAAATTGAAGAAGACACAAATAAATGGATAGATACCCCATGTGCATGGACTGAATAATTAAAACTGTCAAACTGTTCATACTTCCCAAAGCAATCCATAGAATCAATACAATCCCTATCAAAA